CAGACTAGTTTATCTTTTTAAATTACAACTCTGAAATGAAAGCTAACTAAACACAGTATTTCAAATGTACAATTTTTCTTAATGGGTAGCCTTAAATCTTTTGTAATATGTAAATAAATCTTTGTAAACTTGAGAATAATTTGCAAAAGATAGCATTTTCACTTCCAATTTATTTAATTTTTAAGTTTGTTAAGACCTATCCTATATAATAAAAGCCTAATATGCTAAGTGTCCAGTCAGCCATTCAACCAATTAAAGTGTAATATGCTAACAATATGCTAAGGCTGCTCAACCACTCACTATGACGTGCACTGGCCACCGGGGGGCAGATGCTCCGACTGGTAGGTTAGCTTGCTGCTGGGGTCTGACCAATTGGGACTGAGCAAGACGGGCCAGACACGACCTGGAGCCCTTCCATGTCCCTCCCTGGCTGGCCAACCTCCTGCATCCCTCCCCGGCCCTGATCTCGTACCGGTGGGGTCCCTTGGCATATGTCAGAGAGCCGGTTTCAGCCCAATCCTGCAGGCCAGGCCAAGGGACCCCACTGATGCACGAATTCGTGCACCAGGCCTCTAGTCCTATATACTAAAAGACTAATATGCATATCAACCGAACGGTGGAATGACCGGTCGCTATGACGTGCACTGACCACCAGGGGGCAAACGCTCATGAGCCGGGCTCATGGCTGGCGAGTGCAGTGGTGGTGGCGGGAGCCTCTCCTGCCTCCATGGCAGCACTAAGGATCTCCGACTGACAGTCCACAGGGAGCGGGCCCAAGCCATCAGTCGGACAACCCCCTGAGGGCTCCCGGACTGCAAGAGGGCGCAGGCTGGGCTGAGGGACCCCCCGCTCCCCCAGTGTACAAATTTCGTGCACCGGGCTTCTAGTTAATCATAATACAAAATGCTTCATAACCTTATGGTGATTTAAAATACAAAGTGCTTCATAAACTTATGAGGAGTAAAGTTTCTTACAAATCTAGATTCTGTTTATTTTATGTACTAACCTCACATTCTGTGGCAGAAGGGTTACATTATATGTATTTAAACACATTTATCAAATTTTGATCTTAAAAAATAACTAGACTTTTTTAAAAAAAGAACTGCTTATGAAAACTCTTTCATAAAGCTGCACTGGATAATATTACTTCTGTTACTTAAGTATTATTATCCAAATAAGGGGAGAAGTATAGGCCACATGGAAAGGGCAATTACAATCCTTCCAAATCTAATAAGGTATCAGAATAATGAACCTACTGGAAGTTATCTGCAAATTATTCAAGCTTTGAAATTTTTACTTCTCAAAGATAACTGCATAAGTTTTTACTTGGGAATCTATTGTCTGCCCACGCTAATTCAAGCTATAAATAACACTGCTAATGATTTAGAGTTATCAAAATGCTTGTTTGAATAGAAAGAAGTACAAAAGTGATGTCTTTAAAACTGTGTGTATGTGTACATCATACTGCCTGCATATGGTATATTATCGATGACAGAGAGGAAGACTACCTTACCATGCTCACATCCTCTTAATCCTTTAAATCAGGGGTCCTCAAACTACGGCCTGTGGGCCACATGCAAATACAAATATTGTATTTGTTCCCGTTTTGTTTTTTTACTTCAAAATAAGATATGTGCAGTGTGCATAGGAATTTGTTCATAGTTTTTTTTTTAAACTATAGTCCGGCCCTCCAATGGTCTGAGGGACAGTGAACTGGCCCCCTGTTTAAAAAGTTTGAGGACCGCTGCTTTAAATGCTATGTAACCCTGCTTAACTACTTACAGTTCCACAAGCAGACCTTAACTTTCACATCATAATCCCACTTTATCTAGTTGGTAAATTCCTACCCATCTCCGATTCATTCTTTGAGAATCAGTTCTACTCTGAAAGTTTTTCTCACCATTCTTTCTGGCCCCTGCCCTGGGGTAGAGTTAAACATTTCCCATTCTTTCCACTGAGAATAACTTATACTTATTTCAAAAAAGCATGTATATATTGTTTCATAACAATCTGTGTGTGCCCATGCTTCTGACTTTGGATTCTTAAATTCCTAGAAATCACTTTGAATTCCTAAATAATACAGTATCTCATTTTTTATATCCTCCTATGGTTAGCATAGAAGTTGGCATATAGTGACCTTTGAGTAAATGTTTACAGAGTAAATGGGATCAGATCTATTCCACTGAATTTTTCTTTCCTATCAATCCATCATTTCCAGCTTGAAATTCTTTTCTGAATTCAAAAAGAATTGCCTTTTGTTAATTGTCTGTTACAATTAGATATTCCCACCTAGATTTTCCAGATAGAACAAATTCAAAATTCACTGCTTCCAAACAGAATTCCTCCTCTTTCTTCAAATGAAGTTATAATGTACCCAGTTGCCTAAGTTTAAAAATTTCATTGTAAAAGGACAAAAGGGAACAGGACATTTCCTTACCTGAAATTCTGTAACAATTCCATTATATTTACAGACTGAAGTTCCAACAGCAAACCCACCCCCACCTCCTGCAGTCCCTCTGATTAATTTCATCTCCTACACCCTTTCCCCAGGTTTCTCTGCTACACTATTAATGAGACTGGACAGTTGTGAGAAACAAATAATAAAATGAGGCAAAAGTGCTCTAAAATACAAATATTAGTATTATCCTCCTCTATCATTCAAAACAGCTGAAAGCATCTTCCTCTGTGAAGCCTTTCAAATATGCCATCTGTAATGTCTCCTTCTGAACTCATACAGCATTGTCTGTGCCTCTTTTCATAGCATGGAGGCATGTGAGTGACCCTATTCAATTAATAAAAACCTTTTTAGGACAGTAAAAACTTAAGCACATTTTTAATATTGATTTCATCTTTGAGAATTTTTCCTCTTATAATGTATTCTTAGGTTGACCAGACTTGTGAAAATTGTGAAAACAAGAAAGCTTTATGATAACTGGCTGAACTTCACCTATATTACAAACTTTCTTTAACAAAGTCTCTCAATTTTTTTATGCAAATGAGAATCATGTAAAAAAATACAGATACATCTTTATTTTTAGAAATGTTTTACAGGTGACTCTGATGCACTTTGAATGTTGGTAAGTATTCTATAGCATACTTTGTTTGGGTTTTTTTTTCCCTCTTTGTTGGTATGGAGAGAGGTTAACTTTAATGATGCATTTGAATGACATTTCATAGCTATTAAAGCCGTTAGCAAAATAAATAGGAAACAAAACATACCTCTGATATAATGCTGCCAACTTTATATCATGGAAATATGATCACTACATGGTTATACATCTAATGAGTGATGTGATAAATGCATAAATATGTAAGAAAAATATATATTATTTAATGGATGCCTCCTTATACATTTAAAAGTAACCCACATAAAGATTTAGTTAAAATATAGGGTAGCTCTGGCTAGTTTGACTCAGTGGATAGAGTGTTGGCCTGAGCACTGAGGGGTCCTGGGTTTGAATTCGGTCAAGGGCACAGCCTCAGTTGCAGGCTTAATCCCCAGCCCTGGTCGGGGCATGAGCAGGAAGCAGCCAAGCAATATGTCTCTCTCACATCAATGTTTCTCTCTCTCTGTCTCTCCCCTTCTCTTCCAGTCTCTCTTAAAATCAATGGAAATATATCCTCGGGTGAGGATTAACCCCCCCCAAAAAGTAGGGTAGCTTTATTTTTTCTATCTTTGTATTCAAAATTGTTAATAATTGAGGGGGAAAGTTAAGGGATTTTGCAGGATCTATTTTCATGCCTACATAAGTCATGTAGAATTGTACTCACTTGCAAGTGACCCATCAAAAACTTGCTTCAGAACTATTTTTAAAAACAGATAATGGATTTACATTGTTACCTAAAATAAACACTTTAAAAATGTATCCTTAAGTTTCAAAAATGCCTCGTATTCATGGTTTCTTTTCACCTAAACTCCAGACTTAAAACTATGAACTGTATTTTTAAAAAATATATTTTTATTGATTTCAGAGAGGAAGGAAGAAGGGAGAGATAAAAACATCAATGATGAGAGAGAATCTGACTGGCTGGTTCCTGCACGCCCCCTACTGGAGATCGAGCCTGCAACCCAGGCATGTGCCCTTGACCAGAATCAAACCCCGGACCCTTCAGTCCACAGGTTCCCTTCAGTCTGCAGGCCAATGCTATATCCACTGAGCCTAACCTTCTAGGGCTGAACTGTATTTCTTTAAAACAGTGAGCAGGTATTGCCTATAGATATATAAAGTCCGCCTGCAAATTAGTTAAAACTCTACAAAAGTGACAAACTTATTTAATTATATCCTCCTCTTCATATTTATAATCAAATTAATTCTGTCATAAGACATTCAAGATTCAGTGAACTGTCATTTAAATTTCATTTGAAATGAAGGGTAAATATATCCTATTTACCTCATCTTTAATGATTTTCATGAAAGGAAATATGACTCTCACATTAGTTGCTGTTCTTAAAAGCTGGTAGCATTGATCTACAAAAACTTGTTTTGAAGGATTAGACTTAAGCTGAAGTTTACTCCATATGAAAATCAACTCCCTGTAAATGAGAAAACAAGAGAAATATCAAAAATACAGTTTATTAAAATACAGACATTAGTTCTCTTTCACTGAGTCTATAGTGCCCTGAGATGTATAAAAGTGGGTATAAATGGATATTATGTTAAGCCCCAAGCTACTTCTACCTATATGAAACTAATAAAAACTTAGAGGTCGGGTGGGGTAAGGGGAGAACAGAAACTGTGATTTTGCAGTGGTAAGGAATGAATTTCAATCATATGCTGACAAACCTAAGGTATCTCTAGTACTTGATCAAAACAAATTCTAATTCCAGTGTACCAATATTATGATACTTAAAAGAATAAACTGTGGCCATTAATTAATAACCTGTTTGCAAATTTAGAAATCAGTGCTATAAGACTGTCTGCAAATACATGGTTCACATTTTTAATTTTCAACCTATTAAGATATCAAAAATACTACACATTAAAAGTATAAGTATATTATACTACTAATTCTGAAATGATCTATCTGCTCTTCCATTAACACACAGTACCTTCAATATAGACAAGCTAGGGACCATTTAAAGTGTTTCACAGGTAGTCTTTTGTAACATATGGCCAAGGTTATTAGATGAAGTAGTGGGTTTTGAGGCAAAGGAAATCATAAGATATGCCAGTAATTGATATATTTGGGTATCACATTTTAACAAATTAGAATTCTTTAAAATATATCATTAAAGTTACATAGAGCATCATAATCTAAGAAGTATTAAAATAACTGATGAAAATATGTGTTTTTAAGTATGTACTTTGATCCCAGCATATACAACTATTAAATCTAATGGCAGCTTGAAGGTGTGTATAGTCTACTTAGAGAGACCATACAGAAAACACAAAACAGAAAATGATGGCAAGTAACATTAGCAGTAAAACCAAAATTTCACCTCTATTTCATACTAACTGTGTGGGTATTCATAAGTTTTAGTCCACCACTCACATTTTTTTTTTTTTTTGCACATGTAGTCCTTTGAAAGCTCACTAAGTTTCACACCTTGCTCCCAAATCTCTAGTTCTGACTTTCTACCATTTTTTATGTCTCAGTATATTTCAATTAAGATTGCTCTCTATCGCCTTAACCCTGTCAGAACAAATAATATCCCTGTAAAAGATCTTTTCCTAGATCAGTCAGTAACACTAAACATTCCTCTAATCTACTTGTTCTAACCTGTTTATTTTTCACAGTCTTTACATTTCGATTATATTTTTTTTCTCAAAGCCATACCATTCTTTCTTAATGCTACTACCTTAGGCCCTTTAATTGTACACATGTACTTCTACAGGGCTGCTGAACTGATCTGTCTGCACCTTCCAGAGCATTTTATTTAGTGCTTATTCTATACACTGTTTAATGTCAAGTGCAATGGAAACATTGGTTTTATAATCAGAAGCATCAGGATTTGAATCCTGGACACTCTTCTAGATTGGTCTCCTCACAGTTACTTTGCTTCATTTATTCTCACTTTTGTTTATATTGAATACTCTACTTGGAAAGTATTTATTTCTAAAATGAGCTTATCTTTCAACATCCACATCCAATGCATCTTCATGAAAGCCTTCATGAAGATCCTAAAGTGATAATTCAGAACATATTATATCCCTTTTACTATTTCATGCTTTTCATGTACTTCCTTGCTTATATTCTATAGGTCCTATTTCTGCAACTACTAATACATTATAAATCTTCTCAGTGATACATTGTATTAAAGTATTGGCAAAAATGTGAAATAGAGAGACCTAAATATCAATATACGCTACCTGGCATGGTATTACCCAATTTACACTGAGCCACCTTTTTCTGGCAATAACCCTAATATACAAGATTGGAACCCCAGTGGCCATGTCTCCTATGTGTCCTTCCTCAACCTCCTTAAGATATTAATTCAGGAATAGAAAACTGAATTTTCAACTCTGGAATGTTCTCAACTCTAAACTATGAAGCCTTGGGACTGTTGGCATTTCTTTTGGTCTGCAATAAGAGAGACTGGAACCAAATGGCACAAAAGAGAAACAATTTTTTTTAAAAAAAACCTAGCAATCTCAGTGTCCCTGGTAGCACTTCGCTTTTGAGGACCAACTATATCCCTGTTCTTTTTGTGGCTGATGTCATACCCCAGCATCTTTCCAATAAATACAGGCATACCTCATTTTTTTGCACTTTGTTTCACTGCAATTGACAGATGTTACGCTTTTCACCAATTGAAGACCCTCCACAAATAAAAGATTGTGACTTACTTTATTGCAATGCTCACTGTATTGTGATGGCTAGAATCAAACCTGCAGTATCTCTGAGGTATGCCTATACCAGGGGTGGGCAACACCTGGCACGCCAAACATGGCACGCCAGTAACTTTTGCTGGCACGCGAAACCCTCTCTTATAATCTTCCATTTACAATTTTTTTCTTAATATTGACTTTTTTATTTTTCAGATAAATTCAGTGTAGGTGCATCTTAGATAAATAATTTTACATAACAAGTTATCTTAAAGACCATAGACATGGATTGATGAGAGGGGAAGAGCAATTTCAATAGTGTCAAAAACGAACTATTGAGGACTTGGAATGCCATCCCAGAAAATTTTTTCTGTTTAAAAAACTTTGCAACAGCGTTATTCTCCATGTTTTCATCCACATACGCTTGTGAATCTTTGTTCTCAGTGATGAATTTTGTTAAGTCTCGTAATAGGAGTAGCCTGATGGATGAAAGTAGTAGCTCGTGCATATCTCTGAAGGTCACGAAATATAAACCTGATGTAAAATCTCTGTCATCAGTGATGCAGCAGCAAAAGTCCCACTGATAATATCAAACGGAGTCATAAAATTTTCTGTCGACTATCAGTGTACATGTATACATTAAAAAATAAATGTATTTTTCATCTTCATATACTGTGTTTTTGTCGCTCGAATGAATTTTATTATTTCTTCAAGGATCTTCACATACGTACACCTTAAGAGATATCAAGTAGGCGTAACATGTTCTCAAAAAATTAGGGTTGGCATGCAGAAGAATTTTGAGTCAGAGATTTTGCTGGTTTTGGCACGCACTCACAAAAAGGTTGCCCACCCCTGGCCTATACTATATTTTCCCTAAACTAGTTAGGATGCTATCATTTGCAGATTGACTAGTTTAATTCCAACCTCACTTTGTTACTAGCTGTGCGACTTTCATCTCTTTAATCCACTTTATGTATAAGTTTTCTTATACATAAAAAGAATTAAGAGATGATAAGTGAAAACACCTCGGTAATATGTCTGGTATATACTGATGTTTAATAAATCACTAGTTTCCTGTATTCTTTCCTTGTCTTTATAATCTTAATATACCAAGCAATGAAATTTGTTCACTAAATATTTGTTAATGATCTGAAAAAAATTGTATTCCTAAATGTTAAACACATTTAGAAGAAGCCTCTTGAGGAAATATATTAAAGGAAAATGTAGACATGGAATGAGATAAAAGATGATGGTGGACATTCCGAGTAAGGGGCATATTATGAACAGAGGAATATGGATGGAAGGAAGTGTTTAAAAAGATGTGGCGTTTCTCTGAAACAGATTTAAAGACAAAAAATGGTATTTGGAAATTTTGGGAAAGTATTTCATTCAATATTATACAAATGAATGTTTAATATTATAGAAATGTATATATTCTCCAACTTATTCCAAAAAATAATTTAAGACTCCTTAGAGAGACATTCTCAAGGCACAATATTATTATTTTTTTCTCTTTCTGAAGAGAGAGATCTCTTTGTTTCTGTTAACTCAGAAGGAAACTTTGTAAACAAAATGTAATACTAAGACCTTGATAAATTTGCCAGGAGAGAGCTACCAATATAGATTTTTGCTTTCTAGCAGGTAAAGCAGAAATACTAGAATATGGTTACAAAGCTCCATTCTGGCTGAATTTACAAAAGGAGTCTTAGGTTTTTAAGTGTACACTGGGTTTTGAAGGAAAACACGAATAAAAAACCACTAGTAGTCTTTGTGAAGACCCAAGGGAATATTTTAATGAGGCTTACTTATTTTTTTTTTCTTCAAACATAAGGTCCTTTAGAAACACAGCACCAATTTGGCACTTTTACCAGGTAGCAAGTACTAATAAAATAATCAAGTTATCTAGTTGCAGAGAATAGGCTATAATAGGTTCTACAATCATCCTTATAACATAGTTATTTTTTTCATACTTGACTCATTTATATAAGTAATGTTTACTAGCAGAGGCTGTGAGTCAGGCTACCTTGGTTTGTATTCTGGCTTTATTACCAACTACTTGAATGTCTTGAGTATAATATTATCTACCCCATAAAGTTGTTGAAATAAATGAGATTTACAGCAAAGATTATAGGAAGCACTCGGCAACTATTAGCAGCTGCTATTACTATATTATTATTATTATTATTATTATTATTATTATTATTTAGTAATGGTAAGAGAAATAGGGTTAGTAGCTTATTCCACTAGCTTGAGATACAACAAAACTGGACTATGGATCAGGTTCTTTCCTTAAAGAGGGGAGATAAAGGGTAAGCTAGTTCATAGGGAAGGCCAAGATGAAAGAGACAACAGAGACTTTATAGGATGGAAAGATTCCTGCTCTTCAAGTTACAATGAAAATCAACTTTTAGAAGGGAAATGGAGCTCAGCATTAAGAAATATAGAGGAGGGGGATCCAAGATGGCTGCCAATGGGCCGGCAGGCTGCAAGATAGTGTGTGAGTGAGAGAAGGAAAGGAGAGTGTGGATGCGCGGGAAGTGTCTATATTTGTAAGTGAGGGACAGCTATATACCAAGGAATTGTTGGGGACTGCCGAGGGGGCTCCACTGACCAGGCAGCCTCTAGTGCTGATGAAATCTCTCCCGGAGCGGCGGGCTCTGCGGCAGAGACCACGTCATCTTGAAGGGGAGACTGGCTGTGATCTGAAGCCCAGCCTTACCTTCAACCGGGGAGACCTCAGATACCTCCCGGGACCCTACGACCACAA